TTCCATATTCGACTTTAAGATAAAGACGCACCAATTCAACATCCAAGTATTCAAAACGACTAAATCGTCTTCATAGTAATAAGTTGTGACATAAAAAACAGAATTCTACAGGTATCCACCGCTATGCAATCGTTCAGATAAAATCTGCGTAATGTATATGATATGCCAGAAAATGATCTGATATTTACTAACGATCCACGGCAATATACTTACAAAAATTATTTCTAGAATGTAGTTAGATAAGAATGGACATATATGTTACAAATAGAACAACCATCTTATAAAAAAGTATCAGTCCTTATTCAACTTCGACAACCGCTGCCACAAGTATCTTCACAATATTGTCTGTGAAATCTGTAAAATAAAGTCAAACAATATCGCCAAGTTTTATTACTAGATACACGCACTCCAAAAACGTTTTCGCGGACATGGAAATTGAAGTATTGTTTTTTTCAATAAATAAAATATAAGCAGTAAAAAGACTGATTCTATAATAGTTATGAAGATTACAATATTTACTACCTTTGTGTATTTAAATGAAAGGGAACATTCTCTTTTCCATTTTGCAAGGTTTGTTGCATTGTTTGGATATCCGTGTAAATTCTTTGAGAGGGTAATGGTAACCATAAAACAACCCGTGTTTTACTTTCATATGAAATGAAAGTTACATCAATTACATCCATACTACATCAAATATTACCGGGATGTCCCGTTTTAGATGATCATTTTTGCCACACATATCGTAACGTTATTCAGCAAGTATTACAAAATGGAGAGAACCAGAAAGTGCATAAATCGTTTCGTCTTGTCACATTCATAAATTTTGCTGAAATTGGCCAATATTATTTGCTGTAAATTTTATTGAGAATCTTATTTTCATTATCAGACCGTAGGATACATTCGAGACATTTGTATTCTATCGGTATATTCAAGTTTATCTTGTAAAATAAGTGGTAATTTGTCATTCGGTTATATTTGCATATAATTTATGGAAAGAATTTTTAGGGGGGGGGGGGGAAATTCGAAATACTGCAATTCGCTTTAGATTAACCAACGCCTCTACTTTTGTTACAGTTATATAATAAAGTCATGACAGTTTACATGCCTAGATCAAAATTAAGTTTATTGTTTCAACGACCAAAACAAATTTGTGTGTATACTAAACTTGAAATTGCACTACATTGAAACTATAATTTACATATTGCTTTATTTCTGATATTTGTAATTCGGCAATAGTCCAGAAATTAGAATATGCCGCTTGCACATTTTTATGTGAGGCAAAGAGACTGATGCAAAACGCTCGAATTCAAGCTTAAATATGAAAAATCTATCAATTATGCTATAAAACGTCGCTTTTCAGATGGCTTTTGTCTAAAATAGAAATGACCGCACTTGTGTGCAGTCTTAGTACTTAAATAGTTGTTGTAATGATAATACATAACATATGTAAAGGTTGAGACTGAACACGAATGCGCCCACTTATCTTTTAGACAAAAACCATCTGAAAAGCGATGTTTCATGGCATATTTGATAGATATTTCACATTAAGCTTAAATTCGAGCGTTTTTAATGACCAAACCAGTTTAAACCTTTTACGTCAACTAATTGAATTGATTGAAGTAGACACTTAAGTGTTTGTAAATTGTCAAAAATCTGTCATCAGATGAATTCCACATTTTAGACCAAAATCAACCCCTACCGAACTTTCTCGTTTCACCCAAAATGAAATATGCACATCTAAATATTATGCACAACAACTGTGCAAAACTGCATTGGACTCCTACCCTCCCGTTTGAGTTTTTGCGATTAGAAAAGATATTTCTCAAAAATTTGTTTTTTTAAAAGAAAACGAAAGATTTTTCCTAATATAATGAGCCAAAATTCACCAAAATATAATATGCACATCTGGTAGGATACAGTGTATACTGTTGGTGTATCTTGTCTCAGGACTTCATATTTACGTTACTTTACAAATTATTAAAGATGTATTGATAGAGAATGTCGAAACAGACTCAAAGAGTGTATCTAATTCCATGTATTAAATGATAGTTTCATATATGTCCTCTTACACACGTATGTTAAGCATTCTTAGTAGCTCTAACATTTTCTGGGTAAAAATAGACACTAGAAAAGGGACGAAAGATACCAGAGGGACAGTCAAACTCACAGATTTACTAATGGTTAGTAAATTTAATTCAAAATATATATCATTAGAAAACATTTATACATTTTAACTGGGTTTGTAAACATATTTCATCGAAATAGATATATAATTGATGATGAACCTACCTTTAAATGATTCAAAGTCTAAAAATAAATTTGTCCATGGCTCATTGAGATATAGAAAAGTGTCATCACGTGATACAGTTAAAAGATAAAATACCTAACTATTAATAAAATTAGATATGGACATACGTTAATAAGACAATCTAACAAAAACAAAAATAAAACACAAACAAAACAAAAACGATATTGGGCTTATTGTGTTGGTTGTTGTCATAAGATTTCACTTGACTATGATTCATTTAAAAATGCATACAGTATCAAATGCATATAAACGAAAGCATTTAATGTCATTTGCAGCGTTTTCCGAATGCTTTTGTGTCGAGCCAATACGTGAGATTCCGCTGTGAGACATAGCGATTCTACATTTCGTCGTCGTCGGCAGTTTCAATTTTCAGGTTCCGTCTGTGGTTACAGTGGGTTTTTTTTTATATCAATAACTTTGTCAAACCTTCATGGAATTAAATGAAACTCGTTTTTTTATATTAATACAAGCCATTATCAACAGCAAAAGTTTTAAAACCATTGTGTTTTTGTCCTTTTCCCATATTTTGCTGATAGATAGACATAGTTTGTTGGCAGTTAAAATTAAGATACAGTCTGAAGTTTTAGTTTTTCAAACATTAATAACTTTGTCAAACTCGGAGATTTTTTAACTTTGGACATATTTATGATCAAAAGACAGTATCCACAGCAAAATTGAATTATGTTTTCATTTTTCTGCATTTCAATGATAAAAAAGTAAGTTTTGTTGCAGTTAAAATTTACATAGATTGTGGTATTACACATTTAGACACTAATAACTTTGTTTAACATTCATATAATGTTTCGAAACTTAGAAATACTCGTCTTGAAGAACAAGTTAGGTTGTCGTTGGTTTCATGTCTGTCATATTTGTTTTTCGTAAATTGTTTTGTTATAAATTAGGCCGTTAGTTTTTTCAATTGAATTGTTTCATATTTTTCATGTCAGGGCCTTTTCTATCCGACTATACGGTATGTGTTTTTCTCATTGTTGAAGGCCGTACGGTTGCCTACAATTGCTTACATCCACTTTATTTGAACTTTGGTGGATAGTTGTCTAATTGGCAATCATACCTCATCTTATTTTAAAAAGAAAAAGCATCTGAAAAAAAATTGGATTTTCCCCCGTATTTTACTGTAAATGGAAAAAAAGTTATTTTTTATTGGCAATCGGCACTACACTTTTACACTGACAGCAGCAATAGAAGGTGAGAGAGACTCAGGATTCCAATGAAACCTTCATAGGTTTTCTTTTCTATTGTTCATTTAATGAAGATTACCAAATGTTTCTATACGGCGTTCGGTTGCATTTACTGCAACTATATGATCACAAGTTATAGTCCATAATGGCATTGCTCTACAGTAATCAAACGAGATTTAAATAATGTACAAATGTACTTATATTATCGCACACTTTTGTTGGAAATATATAGGTAGCACCCTGTCTGTCCATCCGTCTGTATTTTTGTGTGCTATTATGCCTTGAGAGCGCAATTCCTTCTTAAATGCTGGATGGATATTGATGAAATGTCAACAATTGTAGAATTACTACTGACGATGCGCATTAAGTAATATGCATATGGTCTTGCTTCTATATGTTGAATGGAAGATAATAGAACTTACCTACTTACTTCAATATAGCAATATATAGTAAAAGTATTTTGGAGCGGCGTATTGATTTGTGAGTTCACTCACCGTTCTAGTTTAATTGTGTTTATATTTTATAAATTCATAATTATCTATCATAAGTTTGTCTTAGCAACAAGTGTTTACAAAATTGTATTGGACATTAGGAGAGGCCAAAGTAAACCCCTATTTTAACAGTTATATATTAAATACGGTGCGATCGTTAATTATCATGTAAAGGTCATCTCGCAAAACGTTATGCTAATTGATTATTAAGTATATGTTTCTCGCGATACGACACAAAGCATGTTAAGTAACTGCAACACTTTCCAGTTGAAATATGTGTAAATTGATAGTATTTAAAAGTTTTTAAATCACATGTATGCATCTAAAATAGAGAAATAGTTATAATGCATATGATAGCGAAAAAGTTGTCTAATTGTTGATGAACCTACCTTGTGTGAATCAGAATCTGAAACAAAATCTAGCGATAGCTCAAATAAATATAGAGAAAGCATCATCATGTGATATAGATAAGAGATAAAATACTTACATATTGATAAACGAGCATTTGGACACACGAAAACATTCCAACAAAAATTATTACCAAAACTTATTTAGAAGTCAACATTCAATTCTACAATAGGCAAGCGTTCATATCATATATCAAAATAAAACACACTTGTACAGATAATTCCGTTTTCGATATTACAGAGTTTTGTGTTACCATTCGCAAAAGCTCAAGCATTACGCGTAGTCAATGACGTCATAGTTGTCTAATTAAAAATAAGTGTTACAAAGTCGAGGAAATAGGCTTATAAAACTATTGACCAGGGAAATAGTCTTAGAAACTATTGACTTGCAAATAGTCTGTAGAATGGAATAGCGCAAAAACTATTTCACAATTTTTGATATAGAAAAAGCATTCTGAGATAAAATATTTGGATGTATTGTCACAATGTTTTAAAGGGTTAATACATGTACATGGACATGTATCAATGAGAGAGCAATTTAACAATACCATAAAACAAAACCAAAAATCTAAAAGTCAATATAAAATTTCTACCGAAACTAGATGATCTAGGTCATGTTTGGATCTTTTTTTATGAAATTAAGGAACTATGGCAAACATGACGGCTTTATTAATTTCTTTCCCTAGTTATGAAATATCAATTAAGATATCAGATATGATTACATACCCTCTGTCAATTGTATGCAATTTGTATACCCATGTTGAAATTGACCGCTTGTGCCGTATTCAGTGTCTTTAACTTTTGACGGAGTCTGCATGTTCTTGCATTGCGATATTGTAAGATATTGTATTATCTGATGTATAAAAGAAATGAATGTGTGTCATCAAACATGCAAATGCGGAAGCAGCTTTTTATTTTACGCGAGCATTCAATATGATTTACAATTTTATCATTTTGTAAAATCCTCTCTCTATACGACACAAAACTGGCTAGATATCTGAACACATTATAGGATAACAAAGTTGATAATGTATGGTAATGTAAAATACGAAGCGTTAAAACACATCCATGAGCTTTAATTGGCCACCGGAAAGCCAATATAAAACAACGAATGTGTTTACTGCTGATTAATCTTCCTTGTAATGAATCAGGATCTAAAATAATCCGTCGAAACCTCACAGAGATATAGTAAAAGTTATTCCGATAAGAGATAAAATGCATTTTGATAACATAATGGAGATATTAACATATTTTGATGAGACTGTAACTGAACGAAACAATAAAACAAAACAAAAAATCTAGAAGTCAACAAAAACAGTAAGTCAGAGTAAATTAATATTGTTCCTTTGACTGTAAATTCGTGAATTCGTCCTTGAGGGTACCATAAATCCAGTACTCTGCTTGATGTTCTAAAATCTACTCTGTATAAAATGTTGAATATTTCGGAACACAAAGGTTCTTCTACCCCCACACCTTCTGCAGGCATATATTGCTTAACCATGATTTGTCAATCTATGTAGGAATTTTGTTTTTCACTGCTCTTCTTCTTCCTATTTGATTTGACCTTTAAAATGTTATGATTCGAGCGCCACTGACGAGTCTTATAAGGATGAAACGCACGCCTGGTGTACTAAATTTCAAGCCTTTTCTTATATTCAAAATGTTAAACTGTTCTAAATACATTGATTACAAGTATGCTTTTCATAAAATTACGTTAATGATTACAATTAAGTAGTGTGTGTACTCATGCAAAGCTCAGATTCCTTGCCCGACTTTGGCTCTACTTTTTCTACTTTTTGGTTTTCTGTAAATTCAGAAATTATTGGGAGGTTTTTATTAATGCGAATAATGCGACTAGGTGAGTATCGCAATAATAAGAACTCGCATTTTGATAACAAAAACATAGATCTATATGTAGATTTTTCAGAAATCGCAATAATTAAACTCGCATTCTTGTCCATTTTTGAAAAATCGCAATAATAACTGCACGCAATAATTTCTGAATTTACAGTATCAAGTTTTGGATTTTCAAAATGTTTGCCCGATCATCACTGGAGAGTCATTTATTGTCGAAATGCCCATCTGGTGCTGAAAAATTGGTACCGTTAATGTTACTACACAAATTACCCCCGAGTATAGATTACTAATGCCAGATTGGTCAATACATTTTGAAATTTTGCTATTTTGTGATTGATTAGGCTTTTTAACTGTTTTGATTTGAGCACGACTGATGAGTCTTATGTGAACAAAATGCGCACTTGGTGTATCTAATCATAAGTCCTGTTTCTTTGAAGAGATTAATATATATACAAAATGGTAAACTGTTCCAAATAAATTGATAACAACTATGCATTTTTATAAAATAACCTTATTCAATTATAACAATTAATTAGAATGTTTTACATAGATTACATTTTGCATGAAAAATCGAAAATTGATCAAAATTGAATGAGAACAAAATATGTTTTACATGGAAATGATTAAAAAATAAATAGCACAACAACCATTATGTACCGACCCTAAAAAGAACAGACATCATTGATCTATTTCAACGTTTACTTTTTGGAATTCACCTTTCTTGTTACGTCGGTCCTGAATTTCTACGATTGTAAAAAGGAACATTCCAACAGTTAAGAAGCCAAGACAAAGTCCAAGTTTTACTTTTGTAACTAAATATCCACTCCACGCAAAGGCAATTATATACCCAAACGATTCCCAAAGTTTGTAATTTGAGAATGCTGCTTCAATATTAGTTGTGAAGAGATATCCGTATAAAGCTGAAACAAAAGTAAGACAGCTTATTGTGGGTTTAAAATTGTGGTAAATGAGAGTAGCCTGTTTTTTGAAATTCAAAGCTAATTGTACCTGAAAAAAAAACATGAAAACAAGGGGAATTTAAAAGTTATCAGAAACGTAAACATTACAAGTAGTACAAACCTTGACGTAAGACGGGGTTTGTCGTGTTTGTTTAGCAATTTCATTTGATGTGTGGTACTCTTAATGTTTCAAGACGCCAGTCGGTTATTTTTGTCGTTGGGTTGCTATCTCTCATCTCTTTATATACATGTTTGGCTTTTCAATTGTTTTGTCTCGATTATATCTTATGGAGATTTTTACAAAGAGTCATGTAAAAGGAAATATTTATGAAACGTTTTTAACAGTCTCGCAAACTGAAATGGGACATCGTTTTCCAAAATCCTAATATTTTTACTCAACAGTTCATTACGATAGACAAAATTATAAAAAAAAGGTTGACATTATTTACAACATTAGTTTTTTATTAATTTTTGGTGTGAATTTTGGTGTGAAGCTTGATATCTTTTATTCAATGTGTTGTTGTTTTCTTTGAATAATTGAAGTTTGTTTACAAACGCTTCTAGCTGTAAACATGTCTTTAGTAATCACATGTGCACGTGCGATTTCGAAATATTTTCCTTTTCTTTTAGCTCTTATCCAAGTTGGTAATGTCAGAAGTTATATGTGCCCTTGATGAAATGCTATTTATGACAATGTTTTAACACCAAAAGTACACGCAAGTAACGTTATTATTGTAATGAGGGTTACATAAATAGAGCTCATAGATTTGAGTATCAAGAATGAACATGCTTTTAGATTACATTGCTTGCTTGCTCAACAATGATATCAATATTTCCTATCGATGGGAGGAGCAGAGTGCAAGTGAATCACCTGCTGATTGTTTTCATGTATGTTTCTTGAAAAGCTGTGGCTACCGAGTAATTTATTTTTTCAATATCTAACAATACTTCTGACATTTCATTTCAAACAATTTAAAAAAGTATTACTATCTTTTTGATTACGAAAAAAATATAATCAAAATGACTTTTTTTATTTTTGTTTTGATGAGGTAAGTTTATGCTTCCTTCACATATTACAAAATATTTACAATTCCGTCTTTCCACCTGCCTTTCGCTCTGTTATATATGTATAGCATTGAGTGTACTCAATATCTCCTTTAGTTGACAAAAAATGTTTGCAAAAATAACTCCATACCATGCATTGGAATATAGTTTCTGAACTAACAATGACTTCATGAATCAGAAAGCAAGCAATGCAACCTAAACCAACACCATGTTAGTTCTAAATTATTTTCTTTGTTGTATTGTGTACTCATTTGTAACTGTTGCATAAAGTGACTTTTGTCGGCAAAGTTATCACACTATTAACAAACAATCTTTGCTGGTTGTTTCATATAATGTAGTAATAACTGTCACATCTGTATCTTAATAATCGTATGTAGCTATTATTTATGATCATCAAAGAGTACTTTTAAGTGTGCGCTACTTTTAACTTTGCTGTTCGTTTTGATCTTGTTTGTAAGGCGTGAAGAATATTAATGCTGTTCATCGCTGTCGTCCTCTAAACTAAGGCGACAGTTTACCGATGTTTACAGCTCGTAAATCGATTAAGAGCCTGAGGTGTCAAATTAAGATAAGCAAGAAATCAACAAGATTTTCCATGAGCTTTCGTAGTCAGTAAAACAGGAAATAATAAGCGATTAGGTAAAACACATCAAATGGTGAAAAGGGGTCTCGGTGGCCGAGTGCTCTAAGTAGTTCTACTACTGTCATCACTAGCCAGTCAACACTGAGGTTGTGAGTTCGAACCCCGCTCGTGTGGGTGCACTCGACTACAATCTTAATTGACTAGGATTGTCAGTTTTCCTATCGAAGGTCGGTGGTTTTCTCCGGGCACTCCAGCTTCCTCCACCAATAAAAACTGGCCGCCACGAAATAGCCCAAATGTGGCGCTTATCAGTGGCGTTAAAACACCAACAATCAATCAATCAATCAATCAAATTGTGAAGTACTCTCAAGTGAAGCTTGATACCAAATATCTCTACAGAACTTTCTCTAACTCCCGCTATAATAACAGCTCGTACGAGGAGCAAATTGTTGCGCATCTGATTCTCCGTTGTATTACAAGGTTAAAGCTGTTTTCTAACTGTTTACCCTTCCGGATCACCTGAGATCATTCCCGGTTTTTCGGTGGATTTGTGTTACTCAGTCTTAAGTTTTCTATGTCTACCTTTTGTCTTTCTATCGTTTTTTTGTTTTTCTACGACGTTATCAGTTTCCCATCGAATTATTAGTATGATATTCCTTGGGTATCTTCTGCCTTCCTTTTTAATCTACTTATATGCAATATTTTAAGACTCCATTCATATAAATGTCCTGTGTATTTTCGAGTCGTTAGGTCACTTTCAAATTGACTATTAGGGACCTCTAATCTCCTTTATCAATATGATATGATTTAATCTAATAATTAGAATATTTTACCATTTATTTGTGTTTGCATAACTGCATCCCCTATTCCCCACAATCCTGCAAATACGTAAATCAGGAGCTGGTTGTCTCGATTTGGTTGCCACAGTAACAACGCTATTTGTGTTCCTCCATGTGATAGAAATGCTGAAACATAATATTTATATTTAAGAATTGTAAATTGATCCATGAAAAAAACTTATTATATATTCTGATTGTATACAATGGCTTTCAAAATTCAGATTACCGAAGAATATATATTATAAACCTCTTTCTTTGCATGTCTTTTACATGTGGAGAAGAATCTGCTTACCCAAACGGAGCACATGAGATAACCCCGCTTTTGGCGGGGTTCGTGTTGCTTAGTCTCTAGTTTTCAATGTTGTATCTTGTATAACGCTGTTTGTATTTTGATCGCTTTGTTTTTGTCATGCCGTTGTCAGTTCGTCATCGACTTATGAGTTTGAATATCCCGTTGGTATCTTTCGCCTCTTTTGTACATTAACAAATGAAGGTAAAATCGTTATTGTGGTGTATTTTATCTCTTCTTAAATTATCAGATTTCCTCTACCTTTTTATACAACATATTTATACTTTCAAAAGATAACAAGCACCCAAAAACTAATTTCAATGTAACAAAAAATAATTAATCTAATATAATATATCTAACCTATTAAGAAGAAAGGAACATGACCAACAAACTGAACCAGTCGGCCAAAACCCCATGAACAAATTGCACACACCGTACCAAAACAGATCATTACATAACCAACGTTCCATATCCCGATTGCGCAGCTAACGTAGGACTGAAAGTATTTCAAAATAATTTAGGTAGACCAATAGTTGGGTAATTATGGTGAGTTAGTATAGGGATTTCAAAAAACTGGTAATCACTTCTTAAACTTTTCTGTGGCTTTATAAATGATGAAAGGGTAAACAATTAACTATTTATAGATTTGACACTTTTCGGTTATCTCATTACTAATCTAGTGGAAGTTTTAAACTGTAATCATATTTTCAATGTCACAATTGCTCTATAAAAATGTTTTACATAGTACTATCTTGAAGGAATTGCCTCGTTCTCATGCTTAAACGTTAAATTCGTATCCATGAGAATCAATCGTTCAAAAAGTTGTCTATGCTTGAGAGGTAGCCGTACAACATTAAACATTATGGTGATATTAGAAAAATATGTAATTCAAATCTAACATAGATATATGCATATATTTTTATATATTTTACGATATTTGTACGTTTTATCTGAAGGTTGCCGAGAAAATTGAAAATGATGAACTTGCATCTTGGTTGATGAGCAGATAAGATGACCAATTATGTAGGATTCGGTAACGGGGTAGACCTGGGTCTAGGGAAATAACCCTTGAAATCAATTCTACGTGTATAATCGTCACTTTCATCCTTGCTTTTTGATGAGAAACAGAATTAATAAAATTTTTGATGAAAATGGTCGACAGAAACTTAACTTTAAATTGTTAGAAGAAATGTCACTTAAAATGAAATTAACACTTTATAAGTTTGGTGCTTCCGAAGCGATTTTCAAGATTTACAATCATCAGTAACGAATAAGCACAAAAATGTGTTAGCCAAGGATGTATAAATAGATTATAACACGAGGAGCTATATGATCAAAAGGGACATCAAAGAATAGTCAAATACTCATATGGTAAATTTTGTCTGTTAAATCAATCTAGGACTTATTTCCAGAAATACTACATTTTGATGCGTTTACAACAGAGAGTTAATACCTTAGTATAGTCGCCTGTTATGAATGCTTGTTCAATACCACTATAGATGGTTAAGATTGTTAGGAGCTTCTGTGGCGTTGAGCCCCACCAATGTTTGAATGTTGACAGGAACAATTTAAAGGATATTTTCGAATCTCCCCCTTGTGGAGTTTTATCCAGTGTTATGTTGTCAAGAAATATTGCAGTAATAATAAACGCTATTACAGCACAGCCAACATAAATACCACATAGTGTATATACCTGTAATAAATAATAAGTAACGCTTAAAACACAAAAAACGTAACAGCTCACGGTGTGTATTCCGGTCTCCGATTTCAAACAACATCACAATTTTGATATACATATCTTACATGTCTTGGGAATTTGCTTTTCCAAAATTCAAACATACTTTACCGATGTTCAAGTATCACAATCGATTAAGAGATACAAATTAAGGTAACAAACACAAAACGAGAGAATCGCATAAAGCAAACAAGAAGACCGAGTACTTCGAAAAGGTAAGCATCTTCTGCAATGCATGCATCACTCTTAATGCAAATCTCAACCTAGCTCTGGAGGGGTGATCATGGAACAGCTATTTAATTAGAACTTATCCGAAATCGCAAGAGACACACTGGGAACAACTGTTGAGTGTTTTGCACCGGAGGCACATGCATCATAAATTTGGCTAGGTCTTACTATTTTTTCTATATTAAGCTTATTCCTTTTGTTTTGTTTTTTTTTTGCAGTTAGCGGATTTCATTTTGTTATTATATCTAAAGTGGAGTTTGCTAGAGTTATTTTTACATTATGTCAACTAACTAATACTTTTGGGAGATATAATTTGACTGCCCGACGAAAGCAATAAATGTGGCACTTTTGTGATAACATCAACGTCATTTAAATAGCAGTCCGGCTATATGCATGTACAGCATATAAAATTTGATAAATTTCCATGACAAACCAGTCCAGAAATTAAATTTCCATCATCGTAAATTACTGTACGAGGTTTTGTCTTCTTAAAAAAAAAAATAGACCGACCAGATTGACAGAAATTGAAATGTTCCCATAAAATAAAGCTTTCCTGTTGAAGAACGGTAACTAATAAAATTAAAGAATTCCAATTTGTCTGCTTTGGTAGTACGGCATTTACCATACCCTGTGAAAATTCTAGACAGAAGTGGAAACACAAAAAAGTTTAAAAAGAAATAGCAAAATGTTCTAAATGGGATCAAGAAAACCCCGTAGTTTATAAATACATATTATGTACCTATATCTAAATTGATGCTTATGAGCAACATATTCGAAAATATAATGAAAGAAAAGCCTTTACTGACCTTTGTATCATCCGGTCTATCCAAATTAGAATTATTTCCTGTTGGTGCAGTTGGATCAAAATTGGCTCCGCATGAATCAATATCATTTGTTGTATTCCCTGGCGTTACCGCAAACACGGTTGATGAAATTATATTTCCCCAAATGTCGCCTAAATACATGTATATTAATATATCCATCATCATGATCAATTAAGATGTCTTCAAGCATATTTTGGACACAGTTCCTGCCTTCAAAAATATTTGCAGCGTTTATTTGAGTCTAAAAAGAACTTACTTAAATTTTTAACAAATATGTGTCGTGTCAAGATATAAAGTATTTAAAGTACTTAAGGTATATTTGTCCTTAATGATAAATTTGTTGAAACTCGAATTAAACATAAAAACATAATCTTTAGGGACAAATGGTTCATACAACCGGTCCTTAAATGTAAAAAAATAAATTATATTTGTCTCTTCTTACATTTATGTTTTATTTTTGATATAGAGATAGAGCAAGTTCTTATATATATAAACTGTATAAACTTTATAAACTACCATTTTGCAAGCTGACACTGACTTCCCATCATTTATCCCATCAACAATTAAACTTTGGAATAATTTGAACATATCAGTTCGAAATGTAGACTCATTATCAAAATTCAAAGTAGAATTTAAAAACCACGACATTCGAAATGAGAATCAATCTAAACATTATTTATATGGTTCAAGAAAATTGAATATAATATTAACCCAATTTAGATGTTCGGCATCCTTCTTGAATTGTGACTTGTTTAGAGCTAACATTATATCTGATCCAACATGTAAATGTGGTTTGGATATTGAGGACATGCACCATTTTTTCTTTGATTGTCCTTTCTATCTAAATGAAAGGGCTATTCTTTTTAATGGTCTCAGCTGGCTTCCCGAAGGCTGCGAGTTGGACTTAAAACTATTGGTTTTTGGAAAAGAAACTTTTTCCTATGATCAAAATGTGCAAATTGTTAAACAAGTAATCAATTTTATAAAGAGATCAAAACGATTCCTCGTAGTATAGTATCAGTATAGGTAAAACACACATCATCATCATTATCATCATCATCATCCTAATCTCTGTCGTTCTTTTCTCATTCCCTCTCCTTTTTTCAGTATAGTTTAGTAATATTTGTGTTGTTTATATTATATGATGCATGCTCATGTTCAATTTGTATTGTTATATATATTGTATTGTGGAGAAGACTTTATAAGTATGTTTTACTTGTGTCTGATCCTTTTTTGCTTTGAGCAAATAAAATATGTTTAAACTAAACTGTGAAATATCTATCTTGTTAATCTTTATTTTTTTATAAAAAAAAATCAATTATCATCGAGTTGATATTAAGACCTTTTCAAAATACAATTTTCTACTCTGTGATTCTGGAAATTTTTATTCTGTAATTGTTCATGAAATATATCATCAACTCTGAATTCATAATAATGCACGAATTGAACATAAAATTTATTTGTTTTAATTTATGAAATCGATTTTATTTACTTAAACAAATTGGAACTTTCCGAAAAAAGTAAAAAAGAACAAATTTCAAATGCTTAAGAGTTTAAAATGTTATATTGCAAATTTTCTTTGTAAAACTAAAACTTTCAGAGAATTTTGATTTTCAAAGTCATAGGAAACAAATTTAAAAAAAGTTGAATATGTTTTAAATACTTGAATAGCTAAGTTTTACTATAAAACAAGTGTACTTCAACTTTCCTGTAAAACATGTAAAAGAAAGTCCTTTATATTATCAAAGTCTTCATAAATGTATTGCTATTGAAATCTTGTCTTCATGATAATTTCCCGTATGCAGTGACCTCTTGTTAGAACTTCGGCCACCCCACAGCGCAAGTGCGAGAATGTAAACATACGTGCACTGGAAGGTAAACAGTAATAACTGATTCTTAGAGAACAAATTAAATACAACAAATCATTTAATAACTGTTAAGTTTAAAGTTTAATAAACAACTTGGAACGCACGGAAAATATTAAAAACAGTATTAAAGCTCTTTCTATTCACTTACTGTTTACCAGTTCCACGTACTCTGTGCTGATTGTTTATCAATATCACGATCCGGTAAACTTCGGCAACAAACTCGGAAATTAATATGCTTGCGATCAACAATCACTGAATGAAATATTATTTATCGATAACACGTTATAGATTCGAAATAAATATATTTATTCATTTTTATTTTTGGTGTTTTAACGCCACTTTTATGCACCGCTTTTGGGCTATTTCGTCGCAGCCAGTTTTTATTGGTGGAGGAAGCCGGAGTGCCCGGAGAAAACCACCGAACTTCGATAGAAATACTGACAATCCTAATCAATTAAGATTGGAGTCGAGTGCACCCGCACGAGCGGGGTTCGAACTCACAGCCTCAGTGTTGACTGGCTAGTGATTACAGTAGTAACTACTTAGACCACTCGGCCACCGAGCCCCTCGAAATAAATATAAAAAACGTGCATGCATTGGTTCAATAATTTCGATAACTTTAAAATTACAAGAAACTCCTTTCATATGACTTTAAAAAATAATACAACAATTATCAATGGTGAAATATTGGGTTATGATCATCACTTCAGCACAACAAAAATATAGTGTACAACATTATTATTGAAACAAAATGGATTACCAAATTAAAAGTTTTAAAACTGACAATATACGATATGTAATGTAATATGACATTTTCAGTGGTCTTGTGATGTTTGTGAATTTAATTTTATATATGTATTTTATTTTTTGAAATAAAAGTTACTTAAAAAAATATAAATAATCTATTGTGAAACCATTGCTATAAAAATAATAAAAGTCAGAAAATAAATAATAAAAAGATAGCAGTTAAATCTTTTAATAAATTGTTTGATTGATTGATTAATTGTTGGTTGCTTAACGTCCAGTGGCAACTATTTCATGCATATTCAGGACGAGAACAAATTAACAATAAACACAATAGGTAGGTTCTGTAATAGGGGCGTCCGGGATCAAGGTCGGAGAAATTTAGACTGCCACGGGAAATGATGGTATATTGGATAGGGACAGAAATTAAGCCTTGCAATAGGTCACCTACGGACCCCTCAAAGAGTTGTTGCAAGGGTTCTTAACGTGCAAAGAGCGTGGCACTCTCTTTACACGAGGCATCGGATTTAACGTCCCCATTCTGACCGTACGTGGCTGCAAATTTGTACATCCCGCACAGCCAAACGGACGCCCCACTTTAGCAAGGGTTTTACTGCCGGTCGGTGACCATACTTCTATTCTCCAGTCACCCTTGGGAATTACTTAATTGAAGTGTTAGTGTTTATTGTATAGAAACTGGTCTCTTTATATAATGTGAATTATCTTTACATTATTATGCAAATTTAGTCCGGGTAGATTTCCCGCTAGTCGTGCACGCTTGATTATAGTTTTCGTTTTACGGGTAGATAGTTATCTAGTTAGTTCGCTGCTGAAAGTTGAAGGGGTTGGATGTTCTTTTGTATTGAAGATTTGTCCAAAGTCATGTGGTTGTTATAGTTGGAAATATCAGGTATGTGTAGGATAATTTCTATTGTCGAGTTTCTGTATTTTTCGGTTTGATATAGTTCATATAGCGCGCATTTGTCAAATTAGTTCTAGTAATGCGGGATTCGCTATTCTTGTTAAACTAACACTTTATTGCATGCATGTTCCTTATTTTTACAGTGAATGCACATCCTTGACGCACAAGTATGAGTTGTCAGTGAGCCTAAAATCCATAATTTTGGTATGTGTATATGAATGTTTTATAAAAACATAATACTTTAGAGTGAGCGCATTTTTTCCATATTTCCGGTGAAATGTGTATGTTAATGTAGAAAATATTTTCTATGTTCTATTTTTATTTTATTGCATTGAAAAGTATTAACAAATTAAGAAGGATTGTCTTTTTGACCGTTTTACGATTAACAAAATACATTCAGTTTAACATGAGCGTGAAGAAATAATTCATTGTAAACATACAGTGATTGCCGACACCTTTTTGTCGAGAAGACTGAGATAATAATATTTTACTTAGTTTGATACAAGTGTGCAAATTATAAGTGCACGACGAGGTATATTTTTGTAGAGTTACATATAATAGTTTTCATGTATATTGCGTGATAACAGTAATATCGATCGTATGTATTTATTGATCATATTCAGGGGAGAATTCGACTGAGTATATTATCAATGATACTTGAAAGTTCCGAGAACATTTTCGTAAAGTTAAAAAGTTATTTTCTTTTGATAATTCATACAGATAAAGAAAAGATGAGAAATACAAATATTATGTTTTATTGTGCATTGTGTTATGTAAATGCGTTTATATATGTTGAATGTTATATTTAGAATTTTAATACAGATATTGGCATATAATTATAAATGAATTTATTATGTTTTGTAGGGCGTTTATTTCATTATATTGAATACGTCTAGTGCCAATAATAAATTTATCATCTTTTAATGGATTGGTTTTGTTAGCCACACGAACCCCCGTTACAGTAGTACACTGCACGACCCACATCTACATCTTGATTATATCTATGTTTTGATCAATTTTGATTTCAAATTTGTTTTCTTCGGTCAATAATGCAACTTGACTTACTTGTTTGGCATGTCATAAAAAAGAATCCAAAGAATCTATTCATGACGTCATCTTTCTTTGCACCTGTCAACTTAGCATACCACACAGAAATTTGTGTAAGATATGCACACTTAGCCGCCCATAATGTTCCTCCTCCTAATCCCACGATTATTGAAGCAGGTATAATAGTTCCCCATATGGCATGAAAATTTAATGCCATATAGGCAATATAGCACAACATTGATAGTGTCACAGTCCATTTACATCCAAGGTGCGCGATAACAAAAGATGGGAACAACATGCATGATACTACAAGAGCACCATATACAACGGACAATCCACCTGTTCCAAGTCCTTCGTCTTTGTTTAAAGTACTTTGTAGATTCGACAGGGACTGGAATGACGTAAAAAGAAACATAAATCCAACGCTGACAACAAAGACATTTTTCAGAATCCTCATTCTACCCATTGGCGGTGGTCCAGTGTTTCCAGGAGTTGGCTCAGCGCTGTATGTGGTAGAAGGGTCTATCTGATTACCACCGTTCAGTTGTTCCATCTGCATGTTTTCCTCCTTAGATTGTTCTTCCATATTCAAATCTAAAATGACAAAACTCATCAAAGATACCTGGCTTATATCAAAATCCGAACATACTTTTACCTATAATGGTTTACTTTATAAATTGTAAATTGGATGGAGAGTTGTCTAATTGGCATTCATGCCACATCTTCTTATATCTATTAAAAAGTTTTTCTAGCAAAATAAAGAAAGGTTAAACTTTCCGACAAATGCAAAATCTACCATATTAGATGACAGTATTGATGTCATTATCATGATTATCATGTGAAGAAAATCATTTATATTTTTATGATCTTATAGGTGCTGTAAACGACATTGGTATTTTCTGTGGACAAACATCCTTTTTCATAGATGTATATCCAAACCATATGCATTGACGTTACAATATAATGTTGGGCAGTTGGCATGCTTGGTGTGTCAATGTTGTGTTAGAGGGAAATAGACATTAAAAAAGGTTAGAAACAGGAAATATGGCTATAAACTAGGGTTATTATCATACTTGTAAAGTTATCATGATTAATAAATATTATATCTATATCTGTATCTTTTCGCGATAGAAATGTGTTTTTCGATATGATTGTATACTATAAATTTCACTGTTTGGGAACATAACCTTTTTGCATATATATAAATTCTTACCTTTTGTGTGCTTGATGGTGCAAAATATTTCCAGAAATATCAAAAAGTATAAATGATATAATAATTTACAATACCATCCGAGATATCGATGACCTATTTCTTTTTTTAAAAATACTTTCCCATACTTCCCAAGATCCTTCACTTTCAGAGAAAGGAATATAAAATAAATTATCAAACCGAAAGTTGTAAAATTTATATTATCCGGAACTTTTGGTCCGTCAAATTTTACGAAGTTCGGTTTGAAAATTTATTTGATACTCTCCGAAAGAGAAGGATTCTTGGAAATCACCAACAAGCACACAAAAGGTAAGACTTTGTATATATGCAAATATTTCTACCTGTCAGTGAAGATTTCATGGCAAAATTGGGTCTCAAAGTTGAGAGAAATATTCTCTTTAAAAGTATTACGAAACCTTGGCTTCGGCAATATGACGTCGCAGGAAGGTGTCGCAGCAAAAACAAAATTAAATAGCATATTATGACGTCATAGCTATTTGGACTACCATTTCAACAGAACTTCAAGAAGTATCTCCGTATTTATATAATACATCTCTCACTAGGGTATTTCAAAATGAGATTTCTCTGAAATAAAATTGAGAATGGAAACGCGGAATATGTAAAAGAGACAACAACCGGCCAAAGAGCAGAAAACAGCCGAAGGCCACCAATGGGTCTTAAACACAGCGAGAAAATCCCACACCCGATGGCGGACTTCAGCTGGCCCCTAAACAAAAATGTGTTCTAGTTCAATGAAAATGGACGTCACACTAAACTCCAAAACATATAAATGACCTAACAGGCCAGAGGCTCCTGACTTGGGACTTGGGACTTGGGACAGGCGCAAAAATGTGGCGGGGTTAAACATGTTTTGTGAGATCTCAACCCTCCTCTAATATCTCTAGCCAATGTAGAATAAACAAACACACAGCAATACGCACAGTAAAACTCAAAAGAAGTCCGAGTCTGATGTCAGAATTAGGTAACAAAAGAAACTAAGCAAAATGACAATGATACATAAATTAACAAAGGACTACTAACAGTTACTGACATGCCAGCTCCAGACCTTAATTAAACTAATTGAAAGATTATGTCTTCATCATATGAAAATCAAGCACAATCCCTCCCATTAGGGGTTTAGTATCATATCATCATAAAATATATGAGAAGAACATAACCCGTATCATGCCAACATCTGGTTTTAGAATAAATGTGTTTATTTCCGATGCAAAGACCCTATGAGTGAATCAATATTAATACCAAAATATGATATCTTTAATGACCTGACAACAGTATCGTAACTATATCCCTTCTGAATAAGTCTGAGCTGAATGTCGACATTTTTGTGCTTTGTATAGAATATTACCATAACAGATTGGATATGAAATACCTGAACGTATAAGATGTCTGCATGTTGATTAATATTTACGAATGATGTCCTTGTACCGATGATAAAATTTAGTAAATGTTTTGACTAGTTTGTGATATCGAAAACCGTGGTGTAATAACTTTTCAGTAATACAGAGGTTTCTTTCTTTAAAATCAAATACGTTGTTACATACACGAGCGAATCGAACAAGTTGAGATATATAAACACCATAAGATGGCGACAAGGGAATGTCACCATCTAAAAATGGATAATTAACAATAGGAAATGAACAATCATCTCTCTTATCATAAATTGTGGTATTAAGCTTTCCGTTAAAGATATAGATATCAAGATCCAGGAAAGGACAGTGTTCATTGGTGCTTCGCATCACAGTGCGGAGCTATTAGTTTCAGTCGATATACACGCCATGTTGAAATAATTACTAATCACATATAGATTCTGATTGGTTGCTTTATGATGCGGCTGAGATACAGCAACAGCTATTGGTTTAAATGAGATAAAGAATTACAGACTTTTCTGGTCTCAGGTTAAGACATCAAATGCCGGAAAATTAACTATGTGTATTTCAGTTCCGATCAACTGTCATTAATTCATGTTCGTTTTATTATGCATATATTGCATACTGTAAATATCAATTATTAATACGTGTTTATTTACTTTGTTAATCTGCAATATGCACGATTTTTTTTGCTAAACAATGTTCCTATACAATGTTTACAAAAATGCATTATCTGTATTTTATAACTTCTGCCAATCTAGGCACACCTCCAGAGAGGAACACCTTCAGAATACTAATTTAACAACCACATGTACACATATTACCTTAAATAAGAATAGAGCGAAGCAGTCCACAGATTTTTAGAAAGCTCAAACTTATTAGTATTAGCTTTATCCAAAATATATTAGCTACTATTTACATATATCGTTCACTACTCTGCTAAACTTGAATGAATTTATGTGCAAAGTCTTTAATCTAGCATATTGATTCCAACACGTTAAAAGAGAATTGAGAATTCGTGAACCGGCACATATTTCAGTGATTGTTTTATGTGGGGCGTGTAAAATCTTTCAATGATTGTAGTTTCACACAAGAAGTAAATTAATAGATAGGTTACTTACTAGATAGTTGAATATGAAAAACTTGAAAATTTGAGAGTGTCAATAAATGTTTAACTTAACTCTAACGCTCAGGAACAGCAATCAATTCTTTTATAAATACACAAACAATATCTCTTGAGACAATAATCCAAACTTCAGGTCAGCCCAATAACCGCTCTATCCTAATGACTCAAGGGATGCTATAACGTACCAAATAACATTCATCTGTCTAATTAGATAAGTAAACGGATCTTTATGCAAAAATGCAAAATAAAACATCTATTAGTTTATTTGTGAGAATACAATCGCGAGATTACAATTATCATTATTCCATTAAACGGACATAATTATGTACATAAGAAGTGACGTAAAGATATTGTTTATACGTAATGCAAATCTAGTTGTCTTTCTTTTCACAGATAATGGATTAAATTAAAACTGTTATGTATAGAAAACGTATAACAAAACGAATGAAAGAATACAAGATTTCTCATAACTTGTTATTTCTTTTAAAATACACGAGAATGCAAAACATAAGGAATAGATTACGAAAAGGATATTTATAACACAGTATTCACTCTTCCTACAGTCCTCTCTTAAAATCCCACGAGCCTTAAGCACGTTCTTTGAATTTGATTGTAAATGTACGATAACCCTGTAGTACAACATCCGATGGTCACGATTCATTTGCAGTGTGAAAATTATATCACTTCTGGCGGCTATATTATCAGCTTCGCACAATCTTCGTAAATATCATGAATATTTTGTTTTCATTTAACATTTCAGCCCCCTTTCAAATCGTTTTGCAATTTCAGCACGGTTATAAGGACGACTGAAATCGACACTGCACAAGTTTCACGGTTACTATTACGAAGTGGTGGACCGATACGATGCGTCTGTGTCAAATCTCACAAGAGAGTCATATCTGATAGTGTTTTATCTTTAACTTCCAATAGTCCAGTCAATTTAAAGGTAAAAATACTTAAACCTCAAAGAAATAGCCACATATTTAATTTATGTGCTTTTAGCATTGTGTATGTATACTTTGTGCTTATAAAAAGTCTTCTTTTGTATGGGTAAAAATGGTGAAATGTATGACCCCTGTCTTCATTTTCGGCTAATTTCAAAAATAAGATTGTTTTAAGTTTAGACAATTGTAATAAAGATTAAAAAGCATACAGTCTTACAAAGTTCAAGTTATAGTTTATAACATATGCAAAACAATTCTAAAAAACGTGTAATAGGATAACAAAAAATGATAAACTGTGAGAAAAAGATACAAAAATCTTACTTTATCCTATAAAATATATTGTCACAACATTTGTTTTTCAAGTATTTAACGTTTTATCAATTCATTTTATTAATCTAAAAACATGAAAAAGGATTCCATTTCTATTCATCAAATAATGAAACAAATAGGTTTGGGAGCTTTAAAATAAATTTTTGTAGCAAAATATAAAGAAGAACAAATGGGTGATTTATCATATGCAAATTTTTCAATGAATGTATGTTTGTGTTGTTACCATAGTATATGGTTATGGTAAGCATTTTTTTCTTTTAAAAAGGAAACATAGAGGAAAATTCTGTAATTTGATTAATTTCTTTTAAGTCAGAACAATTTCAATTCACAGTTATAGTTCATAAGATATCAAATTTCAAATTCTCGTTTGATCTGTTGAAGCTAAATCTCATCATTTAGATCCGCATCTGTTACAGAAGGTGAGTTTGAACAGTTTACTCGTCGACATTCTCCACAACTAATTGAACAGTCCATGTTTTGAGACATGTGCGACGTTTTGAGTCACAATTTTGCTTACAATTACATCTAATGTTATTTAGAAGTACTTCTGGTGCTGATGGTACAACTGATTTTGTTGGAAGAAGTTTATAATTACTTATAAACCATCTATATTCCTGAGCATTTAAATCTTAACTTTTGTTAAGCCATGTCTGGCTTTGCATATTAACCCCTAAGCTGTGAAATATTGCTGCATCTGATGTTGGAGGTAGTGTTTGCCCCTGTAAACATGCTGTTCCTGTTGAAACTTTGTTCAAACACTTTCTAAATCGAAGGATATCTAGTCCTTTGTATGGCAGTCCTCCAAATGAACAAACAAGAGCTTCCTCGCCAGCTTTTATGACTTCCTCACTGCTTTTATTCTCGCTCATGAAAACTACTGCTTACTCCTTGAAATGATCATTGTTCATGATCATCACATTCAGCATATTCCCTTACCGATTCCACATCCTAAAATTGCATGTATAAATAGTAGAAAATTACATGTCTCTTCGCCTAAGGCTTTTTTTGTCATTTTAACATCACATTCTAAATTTCTTTGCTGTCTTCTTTTGGATATCAGACTTGAAATAAATATTTCGGGCTCTCATATCTGCATGGTTTCAAAGGAGAACAAAAAGATCTGTATCTTCCCCAACCAAAACAACATCTTGGCCACCATTAGCTGCACATGCAATAGCAGGTTGGATTATTAGTGAATCGGCATCACTAGAAGCATGAAATGTATTGCATCTTTTTTTTCACTAAGCTTGCTACTTAGAAGAATGATGAACTGTTGTTTGTTTTCTATGTTTGATAGAAATATTTCCTGCTTTGTTTTGCATAGCATAAGCTCTGTAAAGTTTACTTTTTGGAAGACTGCACCTTTCGTACGTCGTAAATGGGTAATATCTTTTGCTGAGGGACCATCTAAATACCCCTCAAATACAACGACAGGGTTCTTGAAAGTAAAATCTATGATATTCTTAATAGATTCTATTATCGTCATGCCGATTTCTTTTGCCTCGTCCACATTAACATTTGATTCAGCATTGACACTAGTTTCAATATTTCGTAGAGACTCGTAAAGGACAGATTCATTAGGGTGTCCTTTTTTCTTGAATAAATAAAGGCAACAGTAGTATACCGCTGTTCAATAGTCATAATTCGATAAAGCAAAAACAAATCCGGGTAACAAACTAAAACCGAGGGAAACACATCAACTATATAAGAGGAAAAAACCGGAACAACAGAAACACTGAACTGCAAGAAAAGCAAACGCCAACATATATAGAAACGGACTGTAGATAACAACTGCCATATTCCTGACTTGGTACAGGACATTTCAAGAATAAATGGTGGGTTGAACCTGGTTTTATGGCTAGCCAAACCTCCCACTTATATGGCAATGTTAAAAATAAGACATTTCTTTGTTGATCACTGGTATAAAAACCAAAACCAGAAAGGTTCTGCATTACAGTGTAGACATCTGCACATGACGGCATAAAAGGAAGCCATTGTGCTCTTTGAGTTTCTGACATACCAAGGCCCCTAATTAATCCACCAGATATCTTTACACTTCTCATTTACACGTGTTCTATGACATTTCAGTTTTATAACGGTCACTTCTCCTGGGGACCTGCTATCCTTCCAAAAAGATTCTATACATATCTTGATAGTCTTGTTAAAGAGTTTGCATTATAGAAATGTAAACATAAGTGTAGCATACACATTATGACTAGCTGCATCAAAATATGGTAACATGTCTTGTAGAGTCTGTAAATGTTCCCAATTTCCAGTCCTCTCAGCTTTCATAAATCTTTAGAGAATATTCACCGTATTTCGGAAAACCTCATCCATAGTGAAGCCGAGCGAGATACTTCTAGTGCCTTTCTTTTACTTGCAATGCTTGCATCAAGGACGCAACTCTGACACATTTTGTCAACAGAAATATATACATTTATCAACTGATTGAACAGATTAAGAGCCCCAGATAAGATATCTCGAGATGAATTTGAAACAGGTTCATGTTTTTCTGTTGATGCTTCTGCTATTTGACTTGATTCGAAACTTTGATTCCTATCTTGAAGATGTTCTTCATTTGTCAAATACTGTCCATCATCCGGTAGAGGAATATCAAATGTCATTGAAACGAATAAAGCATTCAATTCAGTGTCTACCAGCAGATGTCCCCTTACTGCACTAGCTAACGCTTTTCCTGTCATCTAACAGCATTTGCTAAAACTTCATTTAGACCAGATTCACTCATCAACTGACCAATATTACCATGAAAATTCATTTCATAATCAAATTCACCTAGTCGAAGAAAAATAGATTGGAATTCACTTGTTGTTGATTCGTTGGTAATTATTGTTAATGCTTTCCAGTAAAGAGGTTGATCAAATTTTACTATTGCCTTTACTCCGTAACTTTTTGCTTGATTGCAAATGAATTTAAGAGTTCAATAATACACGAAAGATCACTTGGATTCATGTCCATCATTGGAAGAAATGTACATGCTGACTGTCCTAGATATTCTTTTTTCTGTACCATTTGCATGAAACCTGACCAACCATGAATATGTGACATCATTACAGGCCACACTACCTTAAATAAAAGATCAAGTTTCCATGTTTATTCCAACTTTTAAAGATTATTCAGCTCTGCAAATGTCATTGTTGACATCTTATTTGTTAGTGGTGGTTTATAGTTATCAATGCTGATTGTACATAAAGGCTTCAGATAATAAAGGCTTCGCTAGTTG